GCTGCGAAGGACAGGGTGAAGTGGAGGTCCATGGTCGCCCACGCCAGTCGGCAAGGCACCGGATGATGATGATGAGCTACAGTTACCATAACTCTAACCCTTGTCATATCACTCCTGTTCCTAACTAAAATATCTTTTGATTTTTTAAATTGTTATGATGTCAGTGTCTGCGCCGTTACCCTAACCCTTATACGCTATGTCATACTGCCCTTCAAGTTCCTGAATAAGATTCTGTTTCGTGCTTGATTGTTTTAATGGCAGTGTCATTCAACACGATTGTGAGGCAGCGTGGGGAAATAAGGCGCTCGTCAAAATAATGAAAGACAAGAAACTGGCATTTTTCCGCAGGCCTGGGAATTTTTTGTCGAATTTGTGTTTTTTGGCTCAACGCCTTTCATGCCCTTTAAGAACAAATTTCTATGTGGAATATACTGAAAAACGTTGATTAAAGGCTTACAAGATGTAAATTTTCAATTTCCAAGTACTCTCAAGCTAAGGAAATAACTCCACTTTGGCGACCATTTTCTCGCTAATTTTACCTCTGAAACCAGGCGACCCCTTCCTCCTTCAATCGCAAATGTCTTGAATTGTATCCAAGATAAACTCATATTTTTTTCTTCAAAAGCAAGGCAAATGGACAGACTTTAAGATTATTTATACCAATAACTCCATATGTCCCAAAATTGACGAGCGCCTGATTTCACAATGATGCCTCACAATTATTACCCTAATTCTAGCTCATGCATTATCATCCCTCAAGTTGCTGGGGAAAATGTTATTATTGTTCCTCTTTTAGCGTTATGTGACAGCAGTGTCAACACAATTACCCATACCCTATTACTGCTCAAGTCCATGGAGAAAATATTATCGCTCTGTTTTTAATTCAATTGTTATGACAGTAATATCTACACAGTCACCCATGCCATATCACACTCAATTTTCCCCAAAAAATATTATTGTTCCACTTTAAGCCATTATGTGACGGCAGTGTCTAGTTACCCGTGCCAAATCACTGCTCAAGGCCATGGAGAAAATATTATCACTCTGTATTTAGTTGTTATGATGGCAGTATCTATACAAGTAACCCATGCAATATTAGATCACTGCTCAAATTCCAGGAAAAAATATTGTTCCATCACTAGGTTGTTATGACGGCAAGATCTACACCCTTGAGGCTTTGTCAGGCACTGTTGTGTGGGAGTTTACCACAGGGGATATGGTCAAGTGCTGCCCAGTGGTCAGTGAGTCCACAGGCCGAGTGCTGTGTGGCTCTCATGACGGTCACCTCTACTGCCTCGATGTTCTGGTGAGAGAAACGATACCTGCTGTTGCTGTTGTTGTTGTTATTGATTGTCGGCTAGCTATTCAGATGTGCCAGGCCCAAAATTTGTATATTACAGTCGACTCTGCTTGTCTTGAACTTCTGATGAGTTGATCTTTTTTTCACTCCCCCGACGACACCGATTTATCCGTAGTGGACTGTTTTTATTTTTAATGGCACTTTGTTCATCTATGGTATCAGTTGCATGTGCTCCAGAAATATTTTGTCGAAATTCAGATTCTTAATGTGGAAAAAAACATTTTAAAAGTATATGATTTGGATACAATTTTCAAAAAATGAATCTTTTTAAAATTATTTCCTGAAGAATTTTATTTTTTGGGCTTAGAACAAGTGAACGACTTGCTGATGATGCCTGGCTTTTCTTTGGCTGTTTGACAAAATAAGTTACTTCTCGGAATCGAGGCCTGTGGAAATAGATACATCACGCTTATGGGTGAAGTTTTTACAATTTATAAGTATGAAATAATAAAAGGCATGTTAATGTTAAAGAATATGGTATCAATAGAAAATCTACAAATTTGACCCTAGTGTGGATTTTTGGCCAATATCTCCACTTGTGGATTGCGAGAAGTAACTCATTTTGTCAGCACTCCTTACAAATACTATTTATTATGATTATAATCATTACTAAGAACTAAGCAAAACTGGCTCTGCAGAGACAGCAGTGTGTGTGGCGTCACCGAGTAGACGGAGGCAGCATCTTCTCCTCCCCTGCCGTAGACGACGACCTGTCCGTGGTGTATGTCGCGTCTCTGCGGGGAAATCTACATGCTGTTTCTAGGGTGAGTGACTTTGATCCAGTGTCATACATATAGATCTGCCAACTTTTTATTTAAAATAAACAAAATCCAGACTCCACTACCAATGCAGAAGATCAAGATGGTGGACTTTGGGTCTTGGGCTATGGCCAGGTAACCCCCACCTCCCACGCCCCTCCAAATGCTTCAAACACACTTTTCTGCATTCAATAAATTAAAGCCATTCGTTCAGAGAAGAACTTCAATTAATTGTGAGTTTTGTTTTCATTTTTATTCACTAACCCAGACTTGAACTTGAAAGTTCATAATTTTTCTTCAGCATTGGCAAGTCCATGAAGAACAATACTAAAAAACAGAACATACTGGGTACATATATGTGAGGCATCGAGCTGAAATCAGGCGCTCATCAAAATAATAAAATCCGAGAAAATGGGATTTTATGGAAAAACTTTGATTAAATTAATAAAGGCACAAAAATGTAAATTTACAGTTTCCAAAGACTCTTAGGCTTCAGAAGTCACCAAACTTTGGCGGCCATTTCTCGCTAATTTTACGTCTGATACCAGGCGACCTCACCTCCTTTAATCGCAAATATCTCAATTTTTATTCTAGGTTAATAGATATTTATTTCATAGAAAGCAAGGGAAAAGAAAAACCCTTAAGATGACACGGTCCAATAACTCCATATGCCCAAAAATTGATGAGCGCCTGATTCCACCGTGTTGTGACACATATTTTCTGATACAAAAATAGAGTGGAGATCAATGATGTGTACGCTAGGTCAAAAACTTTTTTGGGGGGGGGGGGTATTTTACTTTTGCCTTGATTTGTCTCTTTTGATTCCACTTTTCCCCACTAGGATTCCGGTTTTGTCAAGTGGACTGTGGCCCTGAAGAAGCCTGTGTTCTCGTCCTTGGCGTTGCTGAGTCATTCCGTTCTGGCGGGCTGTGTGGACGGTACTCTATACTGTGTGCAAGACACAGGGCACATGGTAGGTCAAAGGTCAAACTGTACTGCATATGGGGCTGGGTTTAACACTTTTAGTGCCATCAGCATCTTTAGTCAGCAGGCTATAGTATGCGCTCATTACTGCAGGCAACATTAGTCGCCAACTCGATCAAGCACACTAAACATATGTAAACTCTGAACATAGCCACTGCACAGAAGTAAATACCAAAGGCAATCATTCTACACGATAGCGGAATGGTTGATGAAATTCTGTGAATTTTTAAAGTGTGTTTATTGGGCTGTTAAAGGTTTTTTTGGTTTTTTTAAAAATTCTACGATGGTTTCAGCGTTCTAAACTGGTGCAGTATTTGGGTTTCTTTCACTGTATGAATCTTTGGTATTGTAGATATTAATTAAAAGGGCAATATTCTTAGCTGAAGAAGGCTGCTTTTAAAAAAATCTTAAATCTTGAGATGTTCTTTACGCTGTCATCGACACAATATAGAACGTTTAGGAGGCAGGGGCCAACTTGAGCTGAGAATGATACAACATCCCTGCAGAAAGACTGAGATACTCTGTAAAAATGTTTTTCCCACTCTGGAATCGAACTCGGGTCTTCAGTGTGCGACAGCGAAGCACCTAACTGCTACACCACAGACATCAGTTAGGAGGCTCGGGGTTAAATGTCAGATTATGCTGTATGTGTGTGTGTGTGTGTGTATATATATATATATAGTGGGGGGTTACCCGAAGAAATTAAGCCATTGTTACACCCACATCTATCATTCATGACATAGACAATCTTACTTTGAAATTTATTGCAAGAAGTACTCGAGAGATTTGTACAAACTTAAAAGAATTTGTCTGAAAGAAGACATCACTTAAGTTAAGACTGAAGGGTTTCCATTTTTCTCAACAACATAGCTCAGTCTTATTGGTGATGAACTTGATGGTACCGCACCATACTACTGGAGTTGATCTCTTTGCAAGTGGAGCCATTGTCTTACACAGATAACATTTTAATAATAAAAATAAAATGAAATATCTCTTTAATAGAATAAAGAAATGTCTTTAAAAATAATAAAAGAAAGAAAGAAATTATGTTGGGTTTTTTTAGAAATAAAATCTTAACAACAAAAGTAAAAGTTTTTTTTGGTTATATTTGACAATAACTACACTACTGTAGCTATAACACAATCATTTTTGCGTTCTTTTTCTTCCAACCAGTTATGGACGTTCTCAACGGCTGCCCCAATCTTCTCCACTCCCGTAATACACAACTCATCCATTTTCCTCGCGTCTCACGACCGGAACATTTACCGCCTCAGTGTAGACGGACAGCTTCTGTGGAGACACCTCATGCCTGCCACAGTGTACGCCACCGTCTTCCCCTGTGAGATTTCCAGTTTTGCTCATCGTCAAGTCGTCTATAGTTCCAAATTTCAGAGAAATGACTCTAAGTCAGTGGGGAGACAAACTCTAAATGAATCTCAAGAGTCTTTCTCGTGTGGGCCTAAGAGTATGGAAAGGGATCTAAATAGTTCAGATGTTCCCTGTTCTGCTGATCTACTAAATGAAAATCCTTCGGTTGTGAGTCCTAATAGTGCGAGATCTGAGCATAAATTTTTCAAGGGATGTGATACCTTGGACAATAAAGTCATTTTGAATTCCCAGTCCACTTCCTTGGATGAATTGTGCACAGAAGTTCTAATCACGGCAAGTACAGACGGCACTGTTCACCTCTTAGACTCAGAATCTGGCGTTTTGCTGAGCAGCTTGAACTTGCCAGGTCAGGTGTTCTCATCCCCGGTCTCATTCAACGGAAAAGTTGTTGTTGGCTGTCGGGACAACTTTGTTTACTGCTTTGACTTTTTGTGATACGAAATTGTAAATGTGGACTCTTCGTGTTGAGGAAAGCAAAAGTTGGGTGTGTGTTAAACTTGTGAAAAGTCTGATGCGACTGAGATAAATTGTTTTCCCTATGTATGTTCCCATGTATGTAAATGACATAAATTAAACTTTTTGCTGCACAACAAACACCATCTTTGACAGTGTTTGTACAAAAATATAATATGACAAGAAGTCCCTATCAATACAATTTAGGTCATTTGGAGGTGCGCTGCTTTTACCCAGCCCATTATGACCAACCTGGGTAGAGAGGGATACAACATCCCTGCACTCAGACAGAGATACTTGAGAAAATAACTTTCCCACTTCCCGCTTCGAAACTGAACTCATGTCTTGTGTGTGTTATAGCAAAGAGCTCAGCTATTACAGAAAAGAGCTCAACTATTACAGAAAAGAGCTCAGCTATTACAGAAAAGAGCTCAATTATTACAGAAAAGAGCTCAGCTATTACAGAAAAGAGCTCAACTATTACAGAAAAGAGCTCAGCTATTACAGAAAAGAGCTCAGCTATTAAACCACAGATGCCAGTATCCCTGATCATGACCAGAAAGTAGAAAGCAAATTTTCAAACTTTCAAAAGAACATACAAGGCATGACCATCACATGCAAAAGAGTGGACACTGTATCCGTAATATATAAGGCAATAATCTACGGATTGATATCATTCTAATTGTCCTGTCTACCTCCAGATAAAAATGATTATTTTTTTCCAACCATTATTTCAAGTTTCTTCAATAAATGCTTGAACTAAAACTTTTTTTACTCTCTACTCTACGTTCTTATCCTGTCCTTTTGTGGCATGTTGGTTTGGTTGATCTTAACAAAAACATTCCTTCTTCCTGCTGTCTTTTAGCCACACCCCTAACCTCAAGGTAGGTAATATCTAACATCTAGCCATCTCGGATTAGGCTGAAAAACTCTTGGAGGTCCCATGTGCAATTTGTGCACGTTAAAGATCTCTTGGTGGTCCTAAAATCTATAAGAGTAGGCTTCAGCTACCAACTGGGCAAAATTCAGAATTAATTCCTACCTAACTGAAATTGCTTAATGCGTTCATATGACCGTATGCAGTTGCGAGCACCATAAAACACTTACCAAACAATTCACAAAAACATTGCATGAAAAGAAAGGACCATGAAAGCAGTAGGATATAAACCTTCATGTAAGTCAACCTTTTATTGAAAACATATCACCAACATCCCTCTAAGGCAGGGTAAAGACTACCTTTACCAAAACTTATAAAAAATAACAAATTCTTCAGATAACACATTCTTTCAAATCAGAATCCATCAATTCAGTAACAATTTGTGACTGGAAGACATAAACTGCTATTTGAATGAACTCAACAAGGTGTGGGTAAAAAAAGAGCAGTCACCCACACAATACAGTACATACACTTCCTATGCACCTCTTCCATACAGCAGAATAATCATTCAGCTGTTTAACCCTCTAGTGTCCCTTGGTATATATTATTTATATTTCTAAACATTTGATGCTGCTGATGTTTGTTTTTTAATGGGAAACCAATTTTTATAAAAGCATTTAATTGACTTCAAATTTTTCATTTATTCTAGGCCTACCTTTGTAATGTAACAATAATGTAGAGTGTTAAGATTTTCATGTCAGTATTTCTCGTTGCAGGCACTAAAGGGGAAAAAAAAAAGCTAAGATCAATACAATCTCCACTAGGACAAATTTAAAAACTCACAAAACCCACAGACATTTACTACAAACATTGCAGTTGCAGTTATATTTGCCTCCATTAAAACTAACAATCAAAATCTCAATAAACATTCAAACATACAACAGTGTCAACAAACCATAAAAAAAAAAACTTCCCCATTCACAGAAGGTATCTGTACAAAACAAAAGATTCATTTCATATTAGAAACTCGTTTTTTCAACTCCTTCCAGATTTGTTCTCAATGAATCGTCCATAAACATCATTTTTAGATCGGTGTAGCCCATAGGAGAATGACATCCTGAAAGACGGAATTCGAAAATACAGTGCAGCCTCTCTATAACGACCTTCGATATGACGACATCCTCAGTATAGCGACATGGAGCCCAGGTCCTAATTTTTCCATTATATCATCAGTAGTAGTATTTTCGGTTGCCTCTCTATAACGACATTTTTTTCTGGTCCCAATGATGTCGTTATAGAGAGGATGCACTGCAGATAAAGTAACAGCCATCATAACAAGAACTACCTATCCCCCATAAAAAAACTACTGAAAAAAACAAATCAACAAATGCTGTGGTTCTCCTCACAAGCAGTTCTTCAGAGCATCTTTGACTGCTGTTCTAAATGGAGTCCTCTCCGTCGCGCCGAGCTGTTCCAGCCTTGACGAGTCCAGGTGACAGTCGAAAGGTCGGGGTGCGCCCGACGCGGGCTTCGTGTCTGCCACGATGTGACTGGTGGGCAGTCCAAATACCTCGGCCATGGCCACAGCCATGTCGTACTTGGTCATCATCTCCGTCCCGCTCCAGTGGAAGAAGCCGGTCAGATCAGGGTTCTGTCGAGACAGGAAAGGAAATAATAATATATATATATATACGTGAGGCAGCGTGGTGGAATCAGGCTCTCGTCAAAATAATCAAAGTGAAGAAACTTGCATTTTTCCTCAGGTTTGTGAATTTTTATCAAATTTTTGTTTTTTGGCTCAACATCTTTCATTTCCATTAAAGAACTCATTTCTGCGTGGACTTTTCTGAAAAACGTTGATTAAAGGCACTAAAAATGTAAATTTTCAGTTACCACAGACTCTTAAGCTAAGGAAATAACTAATCTTTGACAGCCATTTTCTCACTAATTTAATCTCTGAAAACAAGTGACCCCCACCTCCTTCTTTTCCAATATCTCGACTTGTATTCAAGATAAATGGATATCTATTTCATCCAAATAAAGACAAGTGAACAAGCTTTAAGATGATACCAATAACTCCACATGCCCAAAAATTGACGAGCGCCTGATTCCACCGCGCTGCCTCACATATATAGGCCTACATGTGTCACCACGTGGTGGAATCAGGCGCTCGTCAATTTTTGGGCATGTGAAGTTATTGGTATTATCTTAAAGTAAGCTTGTTCATTTGTCTTGCTTTGGATTAAAAAATACTCATTTATCTTTAATAGAAGGCGAGATATTTGTGAATGAAGGAGGTGGGGTCACCTGGTTTCAGAGGTAAAATTATTGAGAAAATGGTCGCCAAAGATGAGTCATTTCCTTAGCTTCAGAGTCCATGGAAACTGAAAATTTACATTTTGATGCCTTTAATCAACGTACTTCAGTAAAAATCCGTACAGAAATGTGTTCTTTAATGGGCATGAAAGGTGTTTAGCCAACAAACAAAAATTCGATAAAAATTCACAAACCTGCGGAAAAATGCCAGTTTCTTCACTTTGATTATTTTGACGAGTGCTTGATTTCACCTCGTTGCCTCACATATTTCTTTGCTCTAATGAGGTTCATTTAAGCAGAACGGAGTCAGTTTAAGTAAGCCAAACGAGGTTTATCTAAACATAGCAGTAAACGGAAAGAAAATAAAATCCCCAAGTTGTTTTTTCTATAAATTGTTCAAGCTCTCTAAACTGAAAACCCAGCTATACTGAAGAAGTCTGGCATCTGATCTTATATGGGTAAGGCACTGCTGTTGATATGTACTTTATAATATACTACCAATTACTTCCACTGATTTCCTTCACGATCTTCCTAATCCTATTTTTCGCTATCACAGTTTCCTCAAATAACAGATATGTCAAACACATTTGTTCACTCCCAACGTGTTCGAGACAACCATTCTTGACTGTACATTTGTACAGATGACATTTTAGAGTGATTATAAAGTTTCATTTTCAACAACACCCCTTTATTTGGACAGATTGATCACACAACAAAAATCATAACACACCTTGCTCCTATTGTCAGCAAGAACTTTTATAGCTTTCGCCAGATCAGCACATGAAGTTGGGTATCTGCGTTCAAAGTGATTCATCTCTGCAGGCTTGCTAGCATCCTTGACCTTGCTGAACAAAACGGTGACAGCACTCTCGTCTAGTTTCTCCACCACTCCAAACAATATGGGCACCCTCAGCACAACATTTTCTGCCACAGAAAGAGATCAACACTATCTTAATGCATTTCAGTGACACAGAAATTTATAAGAGATTTCTTTTTCTTTCCTCAAGAGGATCACTCAAGACGAAGAGATAGTGCACAAAATGGCAAAAGCTAGATAGGATAGAGTCCTTTTCTCTATCAGAGTTTGAATTCCAGAAATATCCTGAGACTCCCTCTTCCTAGTAGAGTCTGGTAATATTGATGGACGGCCCTCATAAAAAGCAACAGCTCATTTATTTTTCCAGTTATTGTTATTTTTAATATCATGACTATTTTCATCATTTTTATTATTATTATTACTATCATTACTATGTATTGTTATTATTGTTCTGATCATTGTTGCCAAAATAAACCCTCCTAAATTTTTTTCTTGCATTAGACTAAGACTTAGTTATCATAAATAGTCATACCCCCCCCCCCCCCCTAAATCAAACTGAATTCAAACAACTGACCCAGTAAAAAACAAACACGGCTATTCCAACTAGACATCAACACAGAAACATCTGGAGACAATGACTGCCTCCATTTTGCACTACCAGAGGAGTGCTAAATAATGTCCGATGGTGGTTAGCGGGTGCTTTGGCATGGTGTGCTCCTACTTTCCTGTCAAACATTTATTGTCCTTACCTTCACTCCTTTTGTTCTTTGCATATATTACTTTCAAGTAGTAATACCTGTGTCGTAAAATTCTTACTAGAACTTAGGGCTAAAATAAAGATAAGTGCCTTACCTAGCTAATAAAAAATTAATACTTTGCAGTCACACAGCCAGCAGTACAAAATACCCCATCTGGTCACCCAGCCAGGAGATGACTGCAACGGACATCTCGGGCCTGTTGCTGTACTGTGTCAAGTGACCGGAACGGATAATTTTCACAGTCACATTATTGCAGAAAGTGACAGCAAAGTACTAAGTGAAGGGCATTTTTTTTACTCACCACTGCTGGCCTGAGAAACGACCCTCTCTCCTTCTGCTTTGCTGAGGCCATACTTATTCAGAGGATTGGGCGTGGCAGAGGGCTGGTATGGGGGGCTCGTCCCATCAAACACGTAGTCAGTGCTGATGAATAGTACATAAGCTCCAACCTCCTCTGGAAAAAAGGGGGGAGGGGGGGGGGAGTGAAGCATCATGAGGGGTGCCGCAATCAAACAAAGTTCACAAATTGTATATAAATATAGATAGTCACTGTCACAACAAAATGGGTTCCCCTGACTTTTTACATTATTATTATTCAACCTTGCAGGGTCTAAAAAAAGTTACTCACTTTTCTTGCAATAATACGTATTTGTGTGTATCTGGTATTGATTCCTCAAAAAACTGTATCGTATCATGTAGTAGTAGGAGAAAACAACATTTTGTCTTCACAGTTTCAAACAATGATGTTCTCTGTTACTGCTAGCTATATTATAATATTGGCCTTCGTCCAGTGATGATAGGCCCTTCATCTACATATGTACTTTATCCAATCTTTCAAATCTTTGTGAGGAAATGAAAATCAAAAGAATCAATAACTGACAATGACTATAGCAAGGTCCTTTCACTTTCAGTCTTTGAATAATAGCTTTCACTTCAGTGTCTCTGTTATTCGGTATTAGAGCATTCAAGTGTTGCTCAAGACAAACATATCATTTAGTTTAGTCAATGTGGTTTTAGTAGGTCCATTTGTGGGCAGAAATATATTTTTCAAAGAGTGAAGGAATGCACTCTTCAACTAAAATAGTCTGTGTTTTAATTGTATTCTCAACAAAATTCAAATCAAATCAATTCACAGTAATGAATAACAACTCAGCATGAAGGGCTTTATCTGATTCAATCTGAAATCTTTGCTGCTACAAATACATGATACATTATTCCACAGTACAGACCAAATTACCTGAGCTAATCTATGAATCTACAACTACAACTAGTCAATGAGCCATCTCTTCAGTTTTATAGTTATACAGTCTTGCAAGCAGATAGCAAAGCAAGCACCTAGTATAGCCAGTAGATTTTCATGTCCCAAATTTGTTCTTGTATTTATACATATTCTTTGTATTTAAAATGCATGATGCATACATCGCGAAATTTGTAGTAATCTATATATTATATAAGTATAAGAAAACAGGTTCACATTCCGCCAATTTCGCTATGTGCATGCTAGACTGTAGAATTAGTATAAACCACATTGAATCTGAAAAGTTGAAAGCAAGAACAGATCCACCAAAATCATACTGGCTAAATCACAAAGCAGCTGAGTGGACTTGACATTCAACTTGGCAGTCTTTTCTTCTTCTTTCTCCACAATATCTGGCCGCCTCTCTGCTGCCGAATGTAGGATCACAGCAGGCTGAAGGAAAAATTGTCAGTATTGGTGAAAACAATGAATTCTTCAAGAGTACATTAAAAAACAAAAGAAACAGGCTTTTGAAGAAGTAGCAATAACATTGATTTTGTGATGGAAATCCAAGTTCATTGCCAAGAGAAAAAAAATTAAGCAAGCTGATTTTTTAAAATTAAATGTTATGAAAAGAACTTCTTTAAAATGTAACAAGTACAAGTACAAGCAACAACTTCCAACCTAACAAAATGCAAACGTAAATGCAACATCTTAGCATCAATCAGCCTGAAGTAAAGCAAAATCCAGACAATTTCAGAAATTTAGTTTTCACTCTTGATCCAGAAATTTGGTACCTGGTCTCTGCTGAGCTTCCTGGCTGGCCCCCTGTAGACTGTCCACATTTTGCAGGCCTAGAGCAGGGATAGTTATGTTATGTCTAACTGGGCCAATGACAATACAGTCGACTCTGCTTGTGTTGAACTCGCTTCAGTTGATCTTCGGTTAAGTTGATCTTTTTCTCTAGTCCCTGCCAGCACCTCTTCTTCTTTGCAAGTCCCAATGGTTAAAACTTCAGACGAATTGATATTTTTTTCACTATCTCTATGATACCAACTCATCTGTAGTCGACGGTATTCACAGTCAACTCTTCTCTGAACTTTAGTCAACTCTTCTCTGAACTTTATTGTGCCCATAATCTTTTGTTTAGTTTATAGACACAAGTTTTCATTTTGTGCTATGCATGGGGAAGCTAGAAAAAGGCTTTTACTGCACTAATCTTAGCTTTTACTTTATAGCAACGAAAATTATTAAGACACCTCACAATAGCACAGACCTCTCGACATTTATCATGTGTATAGATTATACTTACTTTAAAGTCCCTGACAGTTTCTGACAATTGCTGAGAGTCTGTGAGGTCAACTTTCTTCAAATTTCCTCCTGCTCTTGAAAATGCTAGACCCAAAGTGTCCCATTCAGGATCTTGAAGAAATGCCTTCAGGCAGTCTCGCCCCAGTAATCCAGAGGATCCAGTTATCAAAACTCTCTTACTTGCCATTTCTGGTGAAACAAAAATGCAGTTTTGACTAAACTATTTGTAAAAGAATCATAGCACAAATCAAGCCATTTATATTCATATATTGATTATGTAAAGTGAGGGGTGGAGTAGTGTACCCATCAGAACAGACCTGCCAAGATAGATGAGACTACCTGGCCCCAATCCTCAAATTTTTCTTACTTTTCTTGGGGAATACCGATCCCCTTGATTCACTTGCACATACCTCACCAACCTGGTCCATCAACGATACACTAGTAGATAAACAATTAGTAGAATCTACTTACAACCATAAATAATATACATCCGTCTTTAAAATAAAAAGGACAGCAAGCAAAGTCTGGATAAAATCTCCTATGAGTAATTCCTGGGAGATATTTTAAGCATTTTAAGGCACATGCAAGAAAAAGGAGATGGTCATATATAAGCACCAAAAATTAGAGGTGTTACTAGAAAGTAACATACAAAGAAAAGGAGGCCAGATTTATTAAGAAGGGTCTCACTGGTTACCTTTCTAAATGTGGCTGTCCATGTCTCTGGCTGCATTAAGTTGGCTAGGTAAGGTAAGAGTAGAGAGGCTTAATTCTAAACCTGAAGTATGAAGAACTGATCATGTTCATGCGACGTTCTGAACTAATCAGATTACGTTCTGAACTTCTACTTCTATTTATTAATAAAGACAGAAGATCAATTAAGATCAGTTCTGACAAGATTTTTTAAAAAATACTTGAAACCTTCTTTATTTTGAGTGTAAGTGTGTGTGCGTGTGTGAGTGAGTGTGTGTGTGTGTGTGTGTGTATGTATGCGTGCGTGTGCGTAGAAAATCTTATATGCGCCCTGGCTCACGTGTCCTAGCTCAACCTTCCGCACTGGGGTGATCTGAGTTAGAGACCCCAGGCCCTTGGGCCAGTCGAGCAGAAGGAAGAGGTATATGTGAGTCCGTGTCTGGCTTGCGTGTTGGACTCCTTGAGGGTTTGGTCATTGCAGACACCACAAATCATCTTGATCCTTTTTTTTCTATTAAGACATAGGCCAGACAAGTTTCCCTACCTAGGTAGCATAGTTAAAACTGACGGCGGCACAAAGGAAGACATCAGGAACAGACTCTGCAAGGCAAGATCTGAACACAGAAGCATGATCAACATCTGGAAGTCAGGACAGTTCAGTATATAGACCAAGTTAAAGCTGTATAACAGCTGTGTACTATCCACACTCCTATATATGGATCTGAATGCTGGAAGATGACTGATCATGATCGTGTTAGGCGATCTTCTTTTCATACAACCAGCTTACGCCAAATCCTCTGAATCTTCTGGCCCAACAAGATTTCAAACGCAGATCTTTTACGGAAGAGTAGGCAAGAGGACATGGCCACCATAATAACAAGGATAAGATGGAGATGGATTGCATTGGGCATGTTCTGAGAAGAGAACCAGACTCTATTATTTAAAGACTGCCCTCCACTGGACACCCGAAGGACATCGCAAGACGGGCAGACCCAAATTAGTGACCTGGAGACGCACAGTAGAGTCTGAAATGAAGTCCTGGAACCATTCGTGGGGGACATTGACCAAGATAGCCCAAACAGAAGATCCTTGTAATATTATATATCCCCTCTCCTCTCTCGAGATATCTCTGATCTCTCTCTCTCTCTCTCTCTCTCACTTGATCACACACACACACACACATACAAACACACACACACTGACACACACACACACACACACACACACACACACACACACACACACACTCGGTATCCTCATTCTCATTCGGTGATCAACAATCAGAAAACAAAAGCCACCGATCAATTGAATGAGAATCATCAGAATGTCCGAATGTATGCAAACAAAAGCTACGCAATGTCGGGCCACTCGGAATTTATATCTAGATCTAGATCTAGATTCTAATGCATTTACCGGTATGCAACTTGTCACTCTGTCACTATAAAATTGTGAAGAAATTGGCAATCGTGAGCACAGGTTCTCTGGTGAGTCAGCTCAGCTGTAGTGGTGCTGGCTGAACGCTAAAGTGCTGTGTAACGTGTGATACACACTACACAGGACAATGCAGTTCGTGGAGAATGAACTTTCTCCAATGTCCTTGACCCTTCACCCTGTGGGAGTCTTTTATTTTGAGAACGAGTTTGTCCAATGAGCGCCTGTAGAAAATTATACTTGGGAACCACCAGTCTCGTTTCAAGACAGACGGAAGCGGTCAATCAAAGCAAAGTAAACGCAACGATTGGGAAGGTGGCATCGTGGTCAATGAATGACATTGTGGCTGGCTGTGTTTCTAAGAAGGAAAAGGGTGGAGCCGAAGAAATAATGGCTGTCTTTCAGAGTCAAACCAGCTCTGAGTGAAAAGTTTCGTGCAGATCTAGATCTTTGTCTTCAAAATGGCTGTAGAGGGAAGTGGAGACGTGAATGTATTTCTTTCTTCCTCGCTCATGGGCTGTGGTTCGCAGAGGGAACCCCAAACAACAGCAGCGGCTACGACATCTTCTTTGTTGACGTTTGCAGACATGGTTCTTGCATTGGACCATAAGAGCACTGGCGATTCGTTTGAACCCAAATCGCTTCTCTTAGATGGATCTTCTGAAAGTGACCACACTTATGCTTCGAATATTTCCAGGGTGACAACGAGATCGAGATCGCAAACCCCAGCTCAAAGAATTGTGGCTGGATTAGAATTGCAGATTGGAAACTCGGTCTCCAAGTTAAAACAATGCCATATTATGAGTGATAGCGAGAGTCATTCTCATAGTCATAGACCATCGAAGGAAGTAAGTGACACCGAGAAGAGAAACAATGATTCTTCAAGAGTCAAAAGAAGTTCATCGGTTGAAAATATTCAATGTAATTCTGGTCCAAGTACTGTCTCAACATCCTCTGAGTGGCCTCAAGTTATTTTGAAAAGTTCACCCCGAAAGTCTTGTTCTTTTGAGGAATTTAGTATCGATCATCAATTTGCAATGAAATCGTCAAAATCCTCTGAGAATATCCAAAGACCTGCTGTGTCACATCAGCTTCATCGAGTCGTGAATGACACCCTGGAATTCCCATGCTGGCCTCGAAAAGCTGATCATACGTACGCCACTGCCACATGGGATGGCACTGCTGCTAGTCACAGTTTATTTGAACAAGAATTGAGACAAGAAGCTGATAAACCAAGTCAGCAGGTGCAGGAAGATCAAGAAATGGAATTTATGGAGCCAGGTGCTCAGTGGAACATGTGGGTCTCGAAACAAGAGGGTCGGTTGTCGTCAACAGAGACCGCACAGTGTGCCCCATTGGCCTACCCTGCTACTGTCCTAAGTCAAAGGGATGATCACACCTATGTCAAATTTAAAGCGTTAAGCTCTCAGTCTCCTGTGCTGGGTCAGGAAAGTCATGGTAACAAAATAATGCTGGAAGAGACCAGTACCTCTGTGAAACACGATTTCTCTTCTGCAACGTTTCCCAGACAGAAAATGCGAGATGATCACACCTATTTTCACAGTGGGCTGAGTAAAAAAGGGGGCATTGGGTCGGGAGGCAGGGAATGGGCTAGTGTGCACACTGTGATGGATATCTCAGGCCCCCAGGCTAGTCAGATGGAGGAACAGATTCCAAGTTTGCATTCCTTCTCCAGAGCATCGGCTAAAAAGGACCACAATTATTCGACTTCAGCATGACCATCAGTTGCAGCTTCAATGCTTCGTATAAATTCCTGTTACCAGCTGTGTAAGTTTATGTGTGTGTTTGATATAATATATTATATAGGCCTAGGCTACACTTAAACCGAAATCTGCAGGATGGCCGATTTTCTTCAGTTTTATCTAGAGATTGCTCAAAAATAGGGGGATTGAAAAACAGACAAAGCTCAAAACCTGGGAAAATGGGGATTCTATCATTTTCTTTTGTATTTTTGACAGTTTACTGGGGATTTATTGTGTCACAGTTTGTTTGAAATGGACTCTTGTCTCTACTGTAGTTGACTATCTTGTTCAAGATAATAAACATTAATTTTTAAATTTATTTTAGGCCTGTACTGTAATCCTGAAATTAAAAATGAAAGCTCAGAAATAAGTTGTGACCCACTGTTCGGGGGCGTGTGGGCGCAACAACAATTGTACACGTCAGGTAGCTTTATTTTTGTTTTACTTTACCCTCTGCTGAATCTACTAGACCTTCACGCACCTTGGTTCCTTTTAGGTCAACTTCTGATGTACACCTGCCCCAATGGTTTCATCCCACATAATTTTTTAGCAAAATTTGATCATTTTTTGTATAAATAATTTCTGATTATTTTCCTTTACCATTCCTTGTTAAAATTTTAACAAAATCGCATAATTTCACATTTTTGGGCTCAGTTTGCCTAATTTCAGAATGGTTTTTTTGTGTGCATAAAACTGCAGGGACAGCTGTACACTGAGTGTGCTTTCAGACTCGGAGTGCACACGGTTTGATTCTTCGAACAAAACATGGCTTTCATTGTGTAATATTTGCTTAGAGTGTTTTATCTCTCATACTCACTATAAAACTTCTATTCTTAGGTCAAAATGATGAAGTGCATTCATCTGATGTTGCTTTGAGATACATTGGTGTACATTTTGTAAGCTCTCTTTGTTTTGATTGATGTGGACTCTTCCTGTGAAAACTAGGCATAAAAAGCTGTTTAGTCCCATTGTTGACAAAGTTGTTAAATATTTGTTTTAAAACATACACAGGCTGCAGTTTTGAGGATGAAAGATTTTCTCGAAGAAACGCAAGTCATCTTCAATTTTTGTCAGGCACTTTCAAGAAAATAGAAAGACTTTAAAAAAAAATAAAACTTCGCAACTGTGGTAAAATTTACCCAACCTTTTTTTTTTTGTAATTTGCATGGATGCGTACCAAACTATTCTAACTTTAACTTGTACCATACTTTAACCGTATCCTTACGCCCTGGGGTCATTTTGTACCCCCCGGGGTTGTATTCTTCAGATTTTAGAATACTTCAACTTCTAGTGTGAAGATCTCTTTGATACTTTCAGTATTTCTCAAAAAATCATTTTTGATAGACTGCTACTGCTATGCAAAGCATACAGATCGGAGTAACGAGTAAATTTCCTCTTTGAAATGGAAAGTGGGGGTACAGAGTTCCCCACGTCCTACAGATACAATAGTCAAACACAACGTACGGATGGGGAATTGTCACATTGTGTCTGTAATTTGTGTTTTCAGCTTTCGTACTGTTTGTGGGGTTAAAACTGGCGTTATAATTATAAAAATTTTGTGCATTCAACATTATATTTTGTATTTTAATGATACAGGCTACTGCAACATGAGATAAGGTGGACTTCATGCATTTCTCAATATTGAATTCTACCTATCCAGAGATATATTTTTATAAATAATTATAATTGGCTCCCCATGTTGTATCGAAAAACAGCTCTATGTTTATGATATAATACTGCAGATTTAGACATTTAAGAGAATGTTACCAGTTGTGTGTGGTGACCTCTTCTTTTCCTGAGAGTGAGAGAATTGCTCTTTAGAACAGAGCAGCATTAAAGGTCATTCACTTTCACACAGCTTTGTCCTAGGTTGGGTGTAACTGGTAAATGGGCCACACACAATTGTTTACCCTGAAAGTGATCCACGTGGGAATTTATTTTGAAAACCTTACTTTTGTTCAAGTTGTTGTCTGTTACTGCTGATCCTACTTGAGTAGACTTAATTTTACTTTTTTGTGTAAATTCTGTGTTCTGCATTTTAATGCCAACTATTTGTTCGTAGTATCCAAGTAACTTTACATAAATTACAGTGGGTGGTTGGCGGGTGCTCTGGTGTGGTTTGCTCCTTCTTTCCTATCAAACATCTATCGTCCTTTTCTCTCCTCCTTTTTTGTGTATGTTACTCTCTTGTAACACGTCTATTCTTCGGCACTTATATGACCTTATTGTGTTGCAAGTGCCGTAAAATGCTTACTAAAACTAAAAACATAAATTACAGAGTTCAGAGAGATCAAAAATAGTGTTGATCTGTGACACGTGCAGTCTTCTGTTGATTTTGATAGATTGGTACAATTTATTCATTCAATTGAAAATATGACATTCATTGTTGTTATTAATTTTATTATTTTGTCATTTACCTACTTTATGTGTAATTCAACCATGTTACTATAGACAAAATGAAGAATATATACCACTTCTGAATCTTTTCCTGTGGCAATTTCTGACTGCCATTTTTTAAATTTCTGTTGTCCCCAGTGCCCTTTGCGTCTTTCATTGCTTGTGATGAGCTTCGAAGAGAGGAGAGATGACCAAAAAGAACCAGAGCTGCCCACACTTGACCGCTTTTATACATATACCTGGTCAACATATTCTCAAAGACAAAAGCTGCTGAGAACGGAAGAACTGCCGATGTGCCCAGACTTGTCTCATCTCTTATCTGTATAGAGAGCTAAAGACAGATCATTCTTCAGCAACAGCAGAGCTGTAATCTTGAATGCTCAGCATAGCTCTGTGTGTTGCCAGTGGAAAAATACACACATCAGTCTCATCTCATTCTTGAGTTAGTGTGTGAGTGAGTGATATATTTTGAGTTGCACACGCTGCTTACAATCACTCAGTCAGGACTCAGTTTTGTCAAAATTTCTGTTTTCTGTCATATTGCTTGAGGTCAAGAAATAGTTTGCATTTTGTTGGAGCTACTAGTGTCGCCTTTTTTTTTTTAAATTGTGTACACACGTATCTTCTAGATTTTATGTCTTCTATGTCGTTGATTTAACATTGTATAGTTGATCATTCAGTGAGTAAAGTAAACAACATAAATCTACTTCAAGTTCAATCCATGATGCTGGTTTACAATAAAATTTATATAAATTGTAAACCAGCATCGTGGATTATATTATAACACTTTCAGTACTGAGCAATTCAAGAACTACTACACATATTTCTTCCCCGAAGCTGAGAGTTTTTAAGCAGAATTTTGGCTCAGAAGTTATTGTATGCCGTAACATTTGGCTTCATTGCTACTGACTCCATTTGTTAACACTAGCATTATAGCTTTCTTATTTATTGTCATACAAAATTGGAGAATGCATTTTGTTCTCAAATGCTTGAACAGAATGTGAGTAACCCTAACTAGTGACCATTTTTCATTCATTTGAGAGTCGTGTGTCAGTACTAAACAGTACCACTGTGCACAGTCTGTACTGCATTCTCATCATATTCACGTAAGCAATCCCTTTGACTTTAAACAACAGTGTATTTTATAGTAGAATGATAGTGCACAGTTCATGTGGAACTTTATTGGAGGACTCGTTTTTACAATGCATACCCATGAGTTAAAATTGAAGCAGAAAATTAACAAAAATAATATTGTTGCAAAATTCTCTTTTCACTTTCTTAGAAGAACAACGCTGTTTCGTTGCTTGGATTTTATCATTTTCAGTTACTGTAAAACTTTATTGTTAGCCTTTTGGTTCTAAGGAAGTCAAAACGGGCTCTTGTAATGTTTTGACAGTTTCTGGACTATAGTAAGTCAATGAATCTTTACAGTTTTGCTGTAAAACTCTTCATTTCAATGAATATTAAGGATTTAGATGTGGTTCTTAGTGAATTAAAATACAATGAAGCAAGTGGAAAATGATAGAAATAAATTTCTGGTATACACCCTTTCTTTTTGCATGCTAAATTTTTGGCAGTGACTCATTAGTTTTGCACACTTATAGCTGAGACAGAGATGCTGCAGAGAATGTGATTCCTGTACAGTATTCCTCTTGTACAATAACGCTAATTGTAGCCGTAATATGACAAAGTGTTTTAGGGCTGAAATGCAGTGATTCAAAGTAATTCTTTTGGCTTTATGTGGGTTACACCTTATTCAGGAGCATGATGATCATATTATTATAATTTCATCAGGTCAAGTTCCTTTGGTGGTTTTTCTTCTTGTGCCATAATAATGCCGCATTTCCATTTTTGAAACCTGCTGTGATGGGAATGGATTTAATTACCCAAGTTGCAATGATGACGGTAGAATTTTCTAAGACTAAGACGGTGTATCACGCACTTTATATAGGAAACAGAAGGATGTTGAAAATGTTCGTCTTGTACGACTTTTGCTATGGTACATGATACATCATGTAGAAAAAATACAAATGTACACGTACATGAATATTAAGAAACAAACTTCAGGAACTGGAAATTTGTTCGCATGATTTGATGATGATTGTGCGTTGTGCATGCTAGACTGTATTATTATCAAACAGCAAGGTCTAGTGAATTTTTGTACTCGCTCTTGACTGCAACCTTTCAACAAAAATGATAAGAAATGAATGGCTCCTTCTTTTGTTGTAATATCTCACTCTGAGACATCTTCAATGGAGTCAAGGTTTTCTATGTGTCTTATACTGGCAGAAATGAATGGCTCCTTCTTTTGTTGTAATATCTCACTCTGAGACATCTTCAATGGAGTCCAGGTTTTCCATGTATCTTATACTGGCGTCTGTGGTGTAGTGATTAGGCACTTTGCTATTTTGCATCTAGGAAACTGAGTTCGATTCCAAGTGAGCAGAATTTTTATCGAACTCGTACTATAGTCTTTCCGCTAGGATGTTGTACCCGTCTTAGCTCGGGTTGGCCCCGACAGGCGTGGTCGAAGTCTGCCTCCTTTGTTCTAAAATGTATCAATGGGGGCGTAAAACACATACCTATCAACTACATTTTGTGTAACTTATACTTATATGTAGTACATGTAAACGTTAAAACATCAGTGAATGTGTGGATGGACAATTTATTTCAATGTCTTTCATTCATGTGCGAACAGTTTATGTTTTTTGCATTGTCAAATTGGTGTGTACTTTTATTAAGTTTTTAATTTTTATTCATGATCTTTTTGACAAAACAATTTTTTTTTGTGAAAAAGAATCAGACCTTACACACAAGTTATTGTTTATTGAATTAGGGTTGTTTCACTTTGCCTGTGTACGGTACGTGGGAATTTCAGTGAGTCAATAGCCTACCATTTTTCTTCTTCTTTTTTTTTATTTCATTCTTTCTCAGAATGGACTAAGTCTGGCTTCAGGATAATTTCTTCCTTTGCCCTTCAACTCACCTTAGCCTGACAGTTTCAAGGGATGAAGAATTGAGATTTAGATCTATTAAGTTTTGACTGGTCTTTGAAACTGCTTCTTTTTAGTTATAAAGTTCTATTCTTGTTTAGTTTGTCTTGTGTGTGTTTTTTATTTTATTATTATCATGTGTAATCACAATAATTTCTTGGCAGAGTATTTGAATGACTTTAATTTGAACAATTTTTTATTTTTTTTGTCATGTGCGATTGTTGATGATGTTACAAAGGCAACAACAGAGTTCCTACAATAGTCAGCAGAGATCACGTTGCCGACACTTTTTATTGGGATCCTCAGACATTGTGCCATTCACGTTCTATTTAAGTTTACCAGGTATTTATCTCATTTCATACTCAACTGACGTATTCCAGTGGCTTCTTTGTGACCAACTCGCCCCTCCCATACCCAAATTGATGTACCGGTACGTGTTAATGGTGTAATCCTGTGCTCATGTAGACTAAAGCATTTTGTATGTTGTGATGCGCATGCTGTTTGGAAATGTACTATTTTGCAGTTTACAAAGACATTATTGGGTCTGAGGTTTCCATACATTTTCTAGGCAAAATTGCAACACGATTTGTGTTGATTACGATGGCACTACGGAATAAAACAGTTGAAAAAGTGACTGAGAATGGAGAAAAGATTCTGTTTAAATGCATAAAACAAATAGTATTCTTCTTCCATCTAAAGCAAACGGCCGTTCTGTAGAGGTGCGTGTGGACTGAAAAGGCTATGCATGTTCATAATAATTAACTTGTTGTAAGTGTAACATGAATTTATTTCGGTTGAGATTAAGAGAGCATCAAACTTTGCTTGTTATGTTGTGATGTTTATGTGAAATGGATTCATCAGGCCCCCAGCTTGACACGTTTCTGTTTGCGGTCTGCACTTTATGTATTGTAAAAATGATTTATATTGTGTTTTTTTACCACAAGGAGTGTATTATTATTAATTATTACATTCCCCATACAAACGACTTTTGAAATTGTGTTCTCTTTCTTTTTTTTTATGTTTCTTTCTATATATTAATTTTTTTCCTCCTTTTCTTTTACCTCTAGCTTTATTTGAAAATCCTACTCATCCTCTCTGAGAATCTCTTAATGTCATTACAGATCATTATGTGGTGCCTGAAGATCAACACCTTTCTTAGTATTCTATCTGCTCTCTTCCCTTCTCTGAATGGCGTCTCAGGTAAAAACTTTAGTCCTTGCAAACTAATCGCCAGGTTGATTAGTTTCCTGTTGGGGCTTTTGTCCGTTGCAACTTCAGCTTGACAAGGACAATGACAATCTTTATTCATCTCGCAGGGAGAAATTTGTCTTGATCGTTAACAATGGCAGTAGACGTTACAAAAGTTAGACTTAATAAAAAGGTGCGCTCACGCAAACGCACAACAAGACAGGACATTAGGCCAAGTATACATGTCTCACTGGCTGGGACAACCCGCTCCGTAAAACATTCATTCTTCCTCTCTGTCTCTCTCTCTCTCTCTCTCTCTCTCTCTCTGTTTCATTTGTAGCACTGTGTGTTCAGTAACCTCACTGCAGTTGGTACGAATGAATTTCTATATCTTAAGGTTTAGTTAAGGGAAGGAACAATTGTATTTGCTTTATATCACTGTGCAAGCGCTGAAGAAATGATAAAGCGTTAAATGAAAAGTAGAGTAATTTTTTTTTGCAGAGGTTTCAAGATTTTGATGTATCACAGTATCACCACGACTGCTTGGGGGGGTTTGTTGAGGCACCATCATGCAGTCCTTATTAACAACAAAGGGATGAGGGCCAGGGTTATCTGCCTTAGCTTTTAACGCAAGCATTCTTTGATATTATATGTTGTTCATGGAAAGAATGCTTTCTTTACTTTGTCAATTTTCGCTTTAGTTTTACTTACGTCTTTTTCGCTTTCCCATGCTTTCTTCTTTTTAGTAGTTTGGTTAAATTTGTGTGTGGTTGTGAGTTGCCTCTTGAATTGTATGCAGACTGATTATAATGTGTTTCGTACTACCTCATTGACATAGTGTATAAATTTCTTATTTTCTTATTGAGGATGGATTTCTAAAAACTTTGAAATTCTTGTTGCTAGAGAGCTGCTTATAAATTTTATATGTTATGAAGGTTCAACATTAAAAAGATATGAAGTCTGTGCATTAAATGTAGATATGTGCACGCTTCAGAATGATGTATTTGGATGAGGTAGAATGTGGATTCATACATGCTTGAAAGTTGAGATTTAATTAATATTTATACATGTATGTAGTACGACATTACATTTACTGTGCTTGTGAAAGCATGAGGTGTGTGAGTGTGTGTGTGTAGGAGGGGG